ATAATTCTTAAAGGAGATGCTTTTTTGTTACTGTGTTATGTGAGTGCAAATAGTATAGTATAGGTAGTATAGGTAGGACCGACAGTAGTATAGGTAGTGGACACTGTGAGTAAAGCGATGTGTTTCCTGAACATGTAAATCTTAACAAGGAATAAATGAACATTTATTTATAAAGTTGTGGCAGGAGTTTTATTAAGAAGCTGTGTTGAGTCTTTCTGTCTCACTGCTACCAAAGACTAACGAGGCTGCTGATGAATAAGAATTAACTCAAAGCGGGAAACAATGGTCTTCACCATGGGAACCGTTTCTCTGCTTGTTGTTCAGAATTAAGATGTTAAAATCAAGTGTCAGTCTTTGCTCCTTGTGGGGGGCAGGCCTCTAAAGAATATAACGTGGAGAAGTTTCTCTTCTGATACTGAGTGTATAAAGGCTTGTGTTTACACATTTTGATTTGTGCACGTTGACATTTTTGTGAAAGCAAAATCTCCGTCATTAAAATTACGCAGTGGTTAATGAAATGATGATGGTAGAGGTGAAGTCTTCAGGCTCACACACCATGAAAAATTCCCCCTCAGCTTTTTCCCTTTTCTGCTGAGCTGAGACATTAGCAACACGAAAGGTACAAATGGGATGTTTTGCTGCTCTGAGTATTTAAAAGGCCCTTGTGATCCCTGCAGATGAAGTAAGTTTTAGTCAGTGCATCTATAAGAGAGAGTTATACTTTCACTGCAAGAAATCAATTACTTGTGCTCCGGGCAAAATGTAATGTATCACTGGGAGCTGTTGTAAGTCTTTCAGCCTATACTCAGAGGTCATTAATTAAAGCAGTTCAGCTGCTGGGGGCAGATTGGTGAGTGCTTTAACTGTCAACAAACCAACTTGTGCCCATATATTTTATATGTGTAAGGACACAATCAGGAGCAACAAGCTGTGATGCACCCTCTGCAATTCAGGCGAAATTGATCCAACAGTTTCCAGGAAAGTTTGGTTTTGTGTTTTGTTGTGCAGGCGTTGTACCAGGCTGAAATATTGAAGGTAGGTAAGGATTTAATTAGTAACACGTCAATCTTGGAGCTCTTCTGCCAACATCTGATGAGGAATCAGCCTCTGGGGGCAGCAGCATTAGTTTTGGGCTTCCGGTGTCGATAGTACAAGTCCAAGCCAAGACTCTGTATTCCCTTAACTCTGACTAGTTTCTTTTTAACACACTATTCAAACGTTTCTCCTCACAAAACACAAGCAGTGGTACTTTGTGAAAGTGTGTATCAAATACAGGTTCTGCATATTTACATTTTGAATCTGTTTATAGAGATTATTGTCCCTGAGTTCCCTCAGCAGGTGAAGGCATTCCTGGGCTCCAGCTTGCCTTCAACACTGAGGGACTGGAAAAGGAAAAACGTTGTGAGTCTGCTTTCTCTGTGCTCTCACAGCACAGCTCCTCTGTGGTGATGTTGATCTCCAGGGAGCTTTATCCCCAGAATGTCTGCAGCATGTTGTTTACAGCCTGATGGTATTCAGACAGAGCAGCGGTGCCAGTCAGCTGGGCCTCAAGCGCTGTGTCATTGGTATACTTTAAGAGTGTCACTCCATCACAGCTGCAGGACATGTTGTCGGTGTAAACAGAGAAGCGAACGGTGAAAACACAAACCTTGTGGTGTTCTCCCAAAGGTTGTGGCAGCAGTGAATCCTAACGATAAGGTTTAACTTGCTGTTGTTGTACTGTCACACTCAATGGATGTGTCACATATAGTCAGGACATATCATGTATTTATTCTATATGTGGAGTAGAAATGTTTAGAATGTTTGCTCCTGAAATGGGTTTGCACTTTTTTTTCTGCCAAACCACAAAGAAAACCACTGGCAAGCTGAGAAAACCTTGTAACCTTGTTTGGCGGATGACAAAATGCACAGTGACTGAGTTCATCATCACTTGAATGTGAAGATCTGAAGAGAGAGAACAGATGAACTGTGTCTTTCTTCAACTCACGCCAGAGAAAACAAGCTTACCAACTGAAGTGCCTCCATTAAAGCACCACTGACCCACAATATGTCTGTGTCAGGATGTCGTTTGGACACTGTGAGTCAACATATCCTGCATTTGGTCGACACTGCACAGAAGAACAAATAGACAAACGTGTTTACTTCAGAAATGCATGTAAATACTGCTGTCATCTGGGAAAAAACATGAGCGTCAGCAAATTAAAACAACACACAGCTTTACTGGAGTTGCTGCTTTCAAACATGAACTGAACATTTTCCTGAAAAGCTCCAGAGGGGCTGTATGTGAGAACGCAAATGTCCAAGTCAGCCGCTCCAGATTAAATCCTAGTTAAAATACCTGAATGTTTCTGAAATGTTCCTCTTATTGTGATGGTGTCCAATCCAGATAATCTCCTGCAGCATTTTTTATACGTGACACGCACCTTCCTGAAAATGTCTGCTCCCAACTTTTTGGACATTTGCCGGAGTTTGTGTCTTAAAATTACTTTTCCAGATAAGTTAAAAGAAAGGTTTGCCCTGCAGTGGAGGGTAAAGTAAATGTCCCTTTTCTCTTAAATTACACTGAACTGCTGCAAACTGCTCACTTGCTAATTTGAGTTTACTGTACCCTCTGGTGTGGTGGGTAATGGCAGCTTCAGTTGTTGAGAAGGATGTGTGGAAATGAGCAGGCTGCTTACCGACATCTCCTTCAGTCGTCTGGGTTTCATTCTGTGCTGTTGAACAACGAGCAGAGTCAGAATTCAACATTTTTATTGCCACTTCGCTGGGTTTCAGAATAGTTGGTGTCCTCGGTGTTTGCAGGGGTTGCCGACACCTCAGCGGGAAAGTTGGTTGTGTGAGAAGAAAAAAAACAGAACAGGTGTGTGTACATGTTTTTGGGTTTTTGACCATCTGTTATTTGTCTGGAGGGGCTGGATCTATCACTGTTTATGTCCCAGGACAGATGCAATCTCACCTGCACTGCCAGAAATAACATTGTGTGTCAGACAAAGCCTTTTATTGTGTTGTTGTTGTGTGGATACTTCTGTTCTATTCCCAGTAAGTAAAGAGAGAGAGGCACACTGCCCAAAGAGAGAAAGCAAAAGAAACTGTTTTATGTTTGATGTAATTAAATAGACATTGAACAAAATACAACCAAAGTTAGTTTCTCATATACTGTCAACACTGCAACCGTGACTTTAGTCTTCACTTTCTCTTCTTCTTGGTGTCGTGGAGCAGTAGCTGTGAGAAATCTGCTCCTCCCTGGTATAAAGACAGTGGCTCTCCAGTTACTGTTACTCATGGCTGGATTGCTCAGCTTTTCTCACTGGTCACATGTATTTATTTTGTGTTTTCTGAACTCACATGCCTTGTTTTGTGCCCAGGATCAAGTCACCAACCTGCTCGCAAAGCCACGCTGCCCACTGACTGAACAAAACCCTTTATTGACCACACTTCTGTCTGTGTCTGCAATTTGGGTCCAGACATGAAAGGAGCTGTAACATACGAAAGAACGGCCAATTTGGGAAAGATTCAAGGGAACAATTGCAAATCTGATCATGAAATGGAAAAATAATGCTCTTAAAATGACCAGACTTAAGAAACTTTAGAGTGCTGGTAGAGTGGCATGTGAAAGTAGTGAGAGGAAATCAAAAGAGTGCCCGGAGAAAGTAAAACGACGATTTGAAAACATCAGTTTCAGACATAAAGAAGGCTGCATTTTAAAATGGGCTCGTGAGTCAGGACTATGTGTTCTGTTGCACAGACAGACATAGGCTCATGTTTGTTTTATTGTACTGCAGGCACCTATGATTTACACAAGAAAACTGTATGAACACAAAATAAAGAAAGGTATTTCCTATATTTCAAATCTTTCAAGTCTTTGCAAATATTTAAAAAATGCAGGAGAAGCACCCTTGGTATTTGTCGATCCTTGGTACACTGCATTTAATAAAAGATGTTGAATAAAAGCCAAGCAAGTCCTCAGGTAGTTCTGAAATTTGAAGATGCAAATACTGAAAATGAATAAGTCCTCACTCGGCAAAACTACTTTAACTGAACTGTGAACACGATCCAACTGAATTTACATGACTTTACTTGAAAGTGTTTCTTTTGCTTTAACGGCTGAAGATCCAGCTGGTCCTCTGAGTCCAATGTACAGTAAAGCAGCCGACCTCCCGGATTATACCAGCTAAGTCCCAGCTTTTCTTAATGATGATCCAGACTGCTGTGTCAACAGGGAGCACAGTCACACTGAGGGTGAAGCAGGGATGGCTCAGTGCTGAAAACCGTCCCCTCACAGCACAATGTTCTGGGGCTGGAGCTGTCTGGGTTTTAAATTTGCATGTTGTCCTCGTGTTTCCTGCGGCTGGTTTGGTTCTTCCACGGTCAAGTGCAGGTTTGATGAACTGGAATCTCTCACATGTCTGTAGCAGAGACTGGGAGAGGCTCCAGCCCAGTGCACTGAATAAGTACATGTAGAGAAATAGATGTTTAAATGCAAAGTACTGTGGTCACCAGCTGGATAAAAAAGAACACAGAAGTAAAAATATGTCAGTTTCCTTGGTTTATGATCTGGAGATAATGTCTGACATCAGTTTAGCCTCATGTCTGTTACACTAGATCCTTCTCTGACGTCATCAAAATATTTTATTGATTTTATAATATTTATAATTTTTTTTTCTAAACCAAGCAGTATAATTTAGCAGTTGACGTTATTGCTCTAATTAAAGACAATGATTTTAAGTGTAACCCTATTTTTTTAATATCCTATCCAGTTTTAATCAGTAAATGTGATAATGTGTTTTCTTTTGCCCTTAATAAATAATTTTATTTTGTATGTCAGATTAGATTTGTCTTTTTGAATGAGGGATTAAATACTAATGGACCTGCTCTTTGTTGTTAGGTGACATTTATCTGTTTAATACACTTAAATCTATTATTAAGACAGGGAAGTTAAATGAGGGAGGAGTCAGGGTGAGCTACTGCTGAGAAGTGAGGAGAGAAATCACAGACAAGCACAGACACCTGTAGCTCCTGCTGCTCCATGAGACAGAAAGAGACGCAGAGACAGAAAGATGTAGAGAAAGACAAAGAAAGAGACTTGGAAAGGAACTGCCACTAAGAAGAAGTGAGTGAGAAGGAGGAGTGTTCAGCTTGTGTTCTGAATGAGAGAAGCTCCCGATACGTGTGTTGATTAAACTCAGTGTTTTAATGCACACTCGTCTGTTTGGTTCTATGGATGTAACTTTTTGAAATTGTAAAAGTTCTGTCCATCCTTTCAGATTTAATCAGACCGTTTTCAAGTTTTGCTTGGAGCTGAACAAAAGCTTAGATAACTGGACAGTGTGATTATTTTGTGTTGCACTGATTTGATCGTTTTAATTTATTATGCTAGGTGCACATGCAGGTCACTGACTTTAATCAAGCTCTGTTTGTCTTAGTTAGTTCATCAGATTTACGGCTTCATTGAAGACTTTGGCCGATGACTGAAGAAAACTGTATGAACACGTGTGGCCTATTACATTGTAGGATAGGATAATCAGGCCTGTTTAAGATCTGATTCACTCCTTGTTGCGTGGGCGCAGCTGATCCGATGTTCATCTGAACAGATTAACTGGTCAAATGATCCTGCAGTGTGAGGGGTTTACAGACAGAATCTTAATGTCACTGATGAGATTGGAGATTTCAATTGTAAATATTTGATCAGTCTTATTCAAAGAACAAGAGAGAAGAGAGCAAGCTGACGGAAAGCATCACCATGTTGTGTACTCGTGCTTCGAACTAAAACATGGCTGCTGACACCACTGAGAAGACTTTTCTCTTGTGCCAGGTGGACAAGCTTGTGAGATTGTGGCATCAGTACGAGTATTTATTTTAATTTTATGTTTTCAGTGTAAAACATTACAAAAAAGCAGAACCAGCTGACAGTGCAACGAGTCAGCCTCCATGTTGTTTTTTATTCTAGAGTCAGGTTTCTGTTTCTGTTCCCTGGAATCAGCACAGTCTTGTGATTAATGTTAAAAATCAGTTACATCTCTCATTATGTCTGTGTGCAGCAGGCATTACTTCGTATTTGGACAAACAGAAAACAATACATTGAATCCCATCCTCTATAATTTGCAATTCCAACCACAACAAGTTGCAATTTACCGTCTCGGTCGATTAAAACTTAATTTCACAGTAAATAATCCAGACTAACCCAGAAATAAGTAAACAATTGTAGAAAATAACAAGAAAAGAACATGGAGTGCCAGTCTCTGAGACTTGTTCACACTATCCTGCATGTTGTCCCTCCTGAATATTAATCGTCCTTCGGTCCACAATCATTAAATAATGGTACAAAAGAACACTGTATATAACTGCATGCATGTGTCCTACTTCCATATTCTTTAAGGTTTGGTATTAATTACCAGCAAACATGTGATTGCTTATGTTACATAATTAATAAGGAAATACTGTGACCTTCCTTAAAGAATTATGAATCCATAGTTATGTTTCACCCAGCAGAACACTGATAACTGCAAAGTGTAACAGTAGTGAAAATAGATGATTAGTGCATTTACTGTAAGTTACGTTCCACACTGAAATTTGATGCAGATCTAACTAAAGAGATCCAGTGAATTTAAATGTGGTTTCAGAAAGGGACTGTTGGGCTTTAGCGGCCGCATGTACTCTACTGAGTGCCGCTCTAGCTTTGTATGAATTGTTGATATTCTGTTTACTCTCTGAATTTAACAGATGCTGACAAACCTCCAGCTTCCTCAACCCTGGTGCAGTTTTTTTTCCTGCAGCCCCAGACACTCGCTAAAGGAAGATTGTTGCACAACTGGAATGAAACTGACATGACATCGTTAGGGCACGCAGAAAACTAGTGTTAAGTTTACCCAGAATGCACAAATCCACTTGATTATGTGCTTTAAGGGCGCTGAATGCTGCTTTGCAACTTGTTTTCTCTCACAGGAAAGTGGCAGTGGCACTGACAGTGCTTGAATGTGTGCGTCTGTGTGTCTGTGTGGGGGATAGCACAAGAGCTTGTTGTTACCCTGGTCATCTTGGCTAAGCTTTAATAGTGGTGAGGTTGGAGGAAATTGAAACCAGCATGAACCACTTCCAACTGTTGGCAGAAAACTGTTTCTCTTGAACCTCTGCTGTGTTTTCTTTCCCTTTGAAGAGGCTTGGGAATAAATCAGCCATTATTAGTTTTGCCAGTTTTGTTTTATTTTGCTTAACATTGATCTTTAATTAAAGCAATTTGAATAAATTCAATACATTTTCTGGAACAAGGGGGTAAAATGTACAGTGAGAGGGAATAATGAAGCATTCAGCCACTTGGCTTACTGCTCTGTCCTGTTGGTGGATCTATTCAGTGTAAAGGATCCGAGCATAACTGACAATTAAATGTCCGAGCATAGATAATTCCAATCCATGTGTATTTCTTTATTTGATTATTATATTAATAAACCTGTGTGACTTGTATATAGTTTATCAGGTTGTCAGCTGTTGGGGGTCAGTTGTGGCCTCAAGTGAAGGAGTTTAATAGAGGTCTTGTTCACGAGTTCATGGGAGGTTTACCAGGCACGCACAGGGGTAGACGGAGAACTCGCTGGACTTCCCCGGACAGCTTCCTGGACAAACCAGGCTTATCACAGGCATATTTGCAGATCAGAGGAATCCAACTGTCGATACAAAGATCTTGGAGCAATCCATACAGTAAATTCAAAGATTGGATTAAAGTGGTGGATAGGCCGACTGACACTGAGAGCTGTGCCTCAGTGACGACTGCTCAAACAGAGCAGTAAAAATCTCATCTAATCTTCCCTGACGTCAAAATGATGCTTCAGATCTCCTTTTGCATGATATTAGATAATCCACCCACTGGGACATGCAGCATCGCCTCCCCAGCCTTGACACGTGGAGGAAGTGATGTCATGTCAATTAAAGCCACTCTTATCACTAATATTAATCTTTCAGTGCTATCAGACAGACCAGTGCATTATTTATACGGCCTGAGTGAGGCGCTGTGCAGGATTTCATTCCCTCCAGCAGGAAATGTTGGCTTTTGAGTTTCACTTTCACCTGCACATCACACAGCTCTGGTCAAATTGCTTTTCATTTTCTGCCTCGATCAGATCCACACAGCTTAAGTCCCTGCTGGACCATCGCATTTCATTCCCCATAATTACTGACTAGTCAAGCGTTGAAGAATATGTCTTTGTATCCATCACTGACCTTGACTTAATCACTCTCACTGCTGACTCATGTCTGTCTCATTGCCAGGTTGTGACAAAAAATGCATTTATCTCGTCTGTCAAAGAAATAACAGCTTTCACTCTGCAAATAGTGTTTTTCAACTGTATCATTTAAAAAAATATGTTATCATTTATACGGTTTTCTCTCAGAACGGCTCTGTGGATGGCAGTGTTGGTCTGTTAGCTTGTCCTGGTTGAAAAATCTCTATACCTCAGGATGGATCGGGCTAAAATGTATTTTAGACATTTATCTTCCGCCTCAGGATGAACTGTAATCACTAATCGTCATCCTCTTACCCGACCTCTAGCGCCATCATCAGGACTAAATGTCAATTTGTCCAATTCTCTGATGTATGATCAAATAATTTGTAAAAAAAAAACCCCTATAATGTCACACCCGGCCGCCTGCAGCTTTACTTTGTGTTTAGTGCTGACAAGCTTCTTAGTCTTGTTTAATATCTGAAGGGGATATCAATAATTTCTTCATTTTAAAAAATGCAGCCCCACTGCTTCATGAATGATTGTAGATGTGCTACTAGGGAAAATGTCAGTGCTGAAAACATATAGCAGTAGGTTTTATAATAATGCATAAAAATGTCGGTGGTCATTTTATAGCTCTATAACATTCTATAGCTCGACTTCCCAGGAATGTTATCTGCTGCCATTATCTCGATCCATTCCTCTTCACGAAGGGATCAAGACCCTATGAATCTACTATTATACTTCAGAACTATTACATTTTTTGCTGTGAGTAAGCAGAAAGCAGATGTTTGAACGTTTCCCCGGCCAAAGCAGCAGTGCAGGATCTGACTCTTGTTGGCCACGTGCCACAACTGAACAGAACTGGATGAATTCAGATAGATGAGCTTCAAGTGTCTCAGGAAGGTGTTAGTGTGTCAGAATGGCTTCAGTGTTCTGTGGAGTAGTTTCTGCACAGGCCTCTGGGATGAGTTTCGATGCTGGTGGTAGTCGTGGCAACCTGTGCCAACAGTCCCAATCCTGTATTGATCTACTTTTTATTTTACTGAACAGTGCGCTTGAGAACGAGAAGCATTTTTCTGGCTGTGTCGACTGTGGCTCTGCAAAGATTCTGGAGCGTTTCTTTGGTTGAAACATGACGCATGAAGCTTTTTGATTGTTCATTGTTTTAGCTTGGTTTGGTTTTGCATATTGTCGTCAGCCTACTGTCTATTTGTTTCTATCTGTCGATGATGTTGAAGCCAAATGAAGTCGTCAGCTGTTTGCTTTCCCAACTTTTACTGTACAATTCTCTGGGCTATATTCAATGTAGCATAAAATAACAAAGATACTCAAAGATGAGATATGTACACAGAAATGGACGGAGCCCTCTGTGCATACTTCGCATTACTTTTGTCAGTGTTTGTGTTCGTCTTCTAAAAGGTTACCTCATTTGAAACAGACGTATGTCTTCTCATTCTGAAATGCAGCATAATGAGCCATAACGTTACGTCCGGGTGGTTCCTGGTCATGCTATAAAATAGAATCCTGGTGCTGCCCCCTGATGGTGGGCAGTGTCTGTCACAGGGTAAAATTACTGGGTCTGTTAAAGCTGGGACTCAAAAGACCAAATGATATCAAATCATACATGAAACCATCCAAGGAGACATTGTGCACTGAATGGAACCACCTGCATATTATATTTCTTCATGCAGTTATTCAGCTTC